GTCACATTCAATGATGCAGAATGCAGGAATATCACTAACCAGTGGGTGCAAAGTCTTGTGGATCCACAGTTGGTAGAAATCATAGGCTCCAGCAACTTCCAGGGTCATCCACCAGGAAAGTCAAGACAGAGAGAGATTGGGGGATGGGGGAGGTCCCAGGGGTCTCCTTATGAGAAGGCCACGCCTACAAGGAGGTGCCATCAGGCTGTGACCTGATTGACAAGTTGAATACCACCCCTACACTTTTATATATCTGCAGGTTGACATGCAATTATTTATGTAATTACCACATACGGTTTGTTGTAGTTTTTGTTGTTGTTGTTGATTTATTCTCTTAGATATGACCCCAACACATAACAAATTGCAACCAGGAAGCGTCCTGCCTTTTGCAGAACCAGACCTATCTAGTTTCAGTGGCTACAGAATTTTCTTCCTGGCAAATTAACCAATTTCCTTCAACTTAAATAAATTCCTTTTGTGTCTACTCTCTTATCTCCATCAAGCCTTTCATTTATTGCTATACTTCCTTACATAAGTCTAATTCCTTACAATTTGTAACAGGCTGCCTGTATACTGTCTTATTTGACCCTTAGCCACAAATCTCTGAAGAAAAGTCAAGTGAATATTTTAATTGTATCCAGATCACAGATGGAAAAACTATTAACCAGCAAGACCTTCACCTCCGGTACCTCGTCATTAGGAGTCAGGACCTCACCCTGAGGCCTGCTCGGATTAGTGCCAGGATCTTTCTCAGGACCTGGGTTCTGTGTCCTTCACCTAAGCCCCATTTCCTCTTTCCTCCCGTTATCTCAAATGTCATCACTTACATATCACCTACGTTGTGACTTATTTAATCTGTTTTTGATTGACTTTCTAAAAACATGAATATTTATCTTTTACAGATAAGATTTTATATCACTATTTTAAGTGGAACACTAACATCACTTGACAGAGATAAACCAGAAAACAAAACACAGTGCTAGTGAGTCCATTTTGACCCATTGCCACACTATTGGACAGTGCAGCATTTGGCCCCACAGGATTTCCAAGGCTATGAAAGCAGATTGCCTATCTGTGGATTGTGGCCTAGAACCATCAACCTTTCAATGAGTGGTTGAGCATATTACCACTGCACCACCAGGGCTCCTTTTCAGAAAGAGAAGGTCAACATAAATCCAAACAGAACAAACAATGAGACCTTTCAGTAGACAATTGCTGTTGAGAGCTAGTTGCTTCTGCCTCCTGAAGGCTCTTTGTTTGGTGCCAGCTCTTTTTAAACAGTTGGACTTAGCAGGTATGGGAGGGATGTTAGATGCCCCTGGCTGGTGCAAATGCTTAACACACTTGACTACAAATCAAAAGGCTGGAGGTTCAAGTCCATCCAAAGGCAAGTTGGAGACAGGCTTAATGATCTTCTTCCAAAAGACCACCCGTTGAACATGCTATGGAGCACAGTTCTACTCTGGCCTTATTAAGAGTTGGCGTTGAAGGTAAACGAGTGACCATCTAGCTCAGAAGCAACAAAGCCCACATGGAAGAAACACACCAGCCTGTGTGACCATGAGGTGTCCAAGGGAACAGGTATCAGGCATCGAAGAATAAAAAAATCATATCATTGTGAATGAGGGGAATGCGCAGAGTGGAGACCCAAAGTCCATCTGTATGTAATGGGACATTCCCTTACAGAAGGGTTGAGGGGAGGAGATGAGCCAGTCAGCATGCAGTGTAGCAACAATGAAACATACAATTTTCCTCTAATTCTAAAATGCTTCCTCCCCCCACTATCATGATCCCAATTCTACCTTATAAATCTGGCTAGACCAGAGGATGTACATTGGTACAGATAGGAACTAGAAACACAGGGAATCCAGGACAGAAGATGATCCCTTCAGGACCAGTGGTGAGAGTGGCGATACTGGATGGTGGAGGGAAGGCAGGTTAGAAAGGGGGAACCGATGATAAAGATCTACATATAACCTCCTCCCTGGGGGACAGACAACAGATAAGTGGATGAAGGGAGACATAGGGCAGTGTAAGACATGACAAAATAATAATAATTTATAAATTATTAAGGCTTTGTGAGAGGGAGGGGGAAGCGGGGAGGGAGAGGTTAAATTGAGGAGCTGATGCCAGAGACTTAAGTGGAGAGCAAATGTTTGAGAATGATGATGGCAACGAATGTACAAATGTGCTTTACACAATTGATGTATGTATGGATTGTGATAAGAATTGTATGAGCCCCCAATAAAATGGTTAAAAAAAAAAGAGTTGGAGTTGACTAGAGGACAATTGGTGTGATTTTGTCTATTTTAACATTGAGCAGAGACTTTCTCCTTGAATTGAGGAAAGACTGAAAGATAAATAAAAGCAGAGAACTATTTTTTCACTATTTATTCAATTTTTATTTTTTATGTACTACTTGTTACCTGCTAAAGTAATTTCAAATACCATTATGGTAAGTGCTGTTCAAACACACAAATGATCGTGAAGACAAGAGAAGGCAGAAAACCAGGCAAGATTTCACTCTTGATGGCAACCACCTTCACCAATGGCTGCTCAGGTCTCCTGGCTCCATCTCACATTTAGCAGCATTCTTCTTGTGCCTGCAAAGAGGCCCGGAAGGATGCATCCTGATTGTGACTTTCAGTAGAAAGACTTCCTGGGTGTGACTTCCTTCAATTGATGCTGAAGAGCAAGGTGTGGTTTCTGACGAGTACCCTAGGCCTGAACCACTCTGGAAGTTGTGTCCACCGGCTGAGAGTGGACAGCAAGCTACTGTTATTTAGATTTCTGTCTTATAAGGAAATGTGAATCAGCATCAACTCCATGGCAGTGAGTTTGGTTGTTTTGGTTACAGGGACATGACAGGAGCACTGGTGGCGTCGTGGTTACCTGTTGGGCTGCTAACCACAGATTTGGCAGTTCAAAACCACCTGCTGCTCCACTGGTGAAAGATGAGACTTTCTACTCTGGTGAAGAGTATAGTCTCGCAAACTCTCAAGGGCAGTTCTACCCTGTCCCAAAGGGTCGACAGGCATCGGAATCGACTTGCTAGCAGTGAGTCTTTTATAGGGAAATCTACCTTCTAGAAACAACATAAACGTAACAGAACTTATCTCCTCCTGGATGTGTGCCACCTCTGTGAGAGAGATTGCCTACCTTCTCTAGATGTAGCTTTGAGCCCTCCATCAGTTCACTTCCAACAGTCAGAGTTTGTTTGCTCTGGCAAATAAAAATTCCCCATGCTGAGAAATGGAACATTTTGAAAAGGGCACCAAGTATCTCCTTGAAAACAGATTTTAATGACATGTAAATGACTATGTAAATTAACCAAGCCCAATGGATTAATCAAACCATTAACATATCAATCATTGGTAAGTGGATTTGATTTAAAAAGAGAGATATCAAATGAAACTGCTCCTAAAGTTCCTCCATGACACTCCTTTAAATCTGTTCTGGGACAAACAGGATATAAATAAACATAAATTAATAATAAAAAATAACAATCTCCTTCCTCATTGTAATTTTAGGTTGTAAAAGGAAGAAAAGAAATACATAGAGAGAGATACTTCTGTTCATTTGACGCACTCGATCTGAACACAGCCAAAGAGTTTTACAGACGTCCTGCATAACCGCGGTTATGGTCCCTGGAATCCTCCCTTCTTGCTTCATTGTTTTCTCAGCCTCATGAAAATGAAATTTAGAAGGAAGGAAGTCACTTGTAAAAACACACTGAGAATTCCTCTTCCATCTACAGGAGATAAGAATCAAAGACTGTCCCGCCTTTGCCTTTGTCTTTTCAGCAACATAAAAAAAGATTGTACACAAAGAACAGATCTGAACATGCAAGAGATTAATCAAAAAGAGATAACAAACATAGTGCGAGTATGCCTCACTCCTGAGGCAGTGAGGCGGGGACAGCAAGCAAAGGAGAGCGAATGACCACAAAGCAGGACGGGAGCCACCAGGTCACGGGCTCTTCGGATTTGGGATTAGGGAGGACATTTATCAGTCAGGTCACTGAGGAGAGACAGCAGTGTCAGGTGACAATCCAGGGCTGGAGGGGTCAGCGGACACACTGGTGAGATCTGGTGCTGAGGGATTGCATGTCTGGCAAGCACAATAGTAGGAAACCAGCGAGTGGGCAGTTCAGTAATGATAAACAAAGCTATCAAGTTAAGTGCTTGTGTCCCTTAATCGTCGTTCCCCACTGGAAACCCCTCTTACGTTCATCTCACTTGATTTCTCCGTTACCCCAATCAGAAGGAGCCCGTTCTCGCCGGAGCGGAACCCTCGCTAACACTTTTCTGCACTCTCACAGAAAATACCCACCTCCTGGTGCCGGCTCTGGAGGCAGGCAGGTAAAGGCATCAGGGGTTCTGCAGAAGGGTAGGTGGTCTCTAGGGAGGAGAACACCTGCTTGGTTTGGATTGTCAAGTCCAAAGTGTTGGTCACCTCAGTGCTTGCCCAATGGAGCACTTCTGCAGGGGAGGTTTGCATCCCCTGGGATACTTCCCAGTTTGAAACTCGGAAACCTTTGCCAGGTCTGATAAAAAATCTGATGTTTTATAAAGGCAGTGCGGTTACGGCTTTAATGAACATGATTTACACGGTGTGCTACCTCTCTCTCCCCATCCGCTAGTCCCCTGAAAAGGAAATAAAGATTTGTGTTCTTAAAAGAGTCCTAATTGTTGGAAGTTTAAAAAAAACACAATGTTCGGCATAAACACGTCGGACAGGAAGGCAGGCTTTGTTCAGATCCTGCCCAAGTCACACTCCCATTTCCTGCACGTGCACACCAGTCCAGCCTCGTGGAATTGTTGGGTCACTGATCCTAGAATCAGTCAAAGAAGCCTTCTCAACCAGGGGTTCCTGGCAACGGTTACCTATTCATTGGAACTGGGGTGGGAGGTAAAGATTGCACGCAATTCTATCACACACAGAGCAGGTGCTGTGTGAAACCAGGGGAGGGAGGAGCAAGCCCTACGAGATGCTGCAGACCGCCTGGTTAACGCTCCTGCGTGGGCACCAGCACCGGGAAGTCCTTTGTTAGAAACCTCTTTGTTCACTCCGGAGCCCTTTTGCCATGACTGCCGGGCCCCACTGGAAAGTGAGGTTCAGACGGTAAGTGCGGACCAAAAAAAGAACGTATCTGGAAGTCAGGAAGTTTGGGGTCTAGTTCTGATCCCTCCATTACTGTGGGATTTTGCCAAATGACTTAATTTCTCTAAAATTTTATTTTCTTGGGGTCAAAAATGATAGCAATTAAACTCGTATCTCATGGTTTAATAAGGCTCAAAAGAGGGTGCCTTACGTCTTATGCATACCCTATAGCACTTCATACATCTGCTGTTATTTCTCTTCGGCTTTTTCTAGCTATACACTCTGGTGTCATGGAAAACTGAAAAAGGCATATCTTGTGAATTTCTAGCAACCCCTTGGATTCATTGGAAAACTCTGGCTAATTGCAAACCTATATTTTACATATACTGGAGATTTTGTGCCAAAACAAAACTTTACTTACTGCAGAACTTGATGGAAATAAAATAAAGGCGACATGAACAATAAAGGCTTAACCTATCATTTTCTTCTGGGAACAATTTTTCAGACATTATTGCATTGTGTTCTATTGCCCTGTGTCTATGTATAATTAAAGATCTCTTTTCCCATCCAAGATAATTTCAAGTTTGGTAGGAATAAATATCACCATTCTGTTGCAATGTGCTAAATTCATGTTTTAATAAACTAAACTCATGCTGCTTGGTTCTTGCAAAAATAAGGCATTGTGAACATATGCTTTCCAGGAAAAGTAACTATTTGCCTGACTTTCTTCTGGCCCGAAAAATGACCGTTTCCCCAGCAAATAGAGGGTAAAATAAGTCGGGCCTACATTTGGCGCTGCTTTCTGAGCCTGGGCCAGCTCCAGAAGAGCAAAGAGAACAGGTGTGGCTGCTGCGCTTGAGGTAGTACCAAGGTTTGGACGCTGAGAAAAGGGGTCCAGGGGCTCCACTGTATTTGATGGTTTTGGAGGAGGCGTCTATTTCCATCCTTGAGTTTACCTTTAGCATTTATGAATGTATGTGATGATACTCCCTTTTTTTTAAAGCAGTTGATTCCATTAAACACAGTTGAACTTGTGATTTCAAATCAAGAGCTTCTCTCATCATAATTTTTGTTTCTTCAGAAGAACCAGGATGTTTAATTATCCATGAGCCAATGCATCACAGTTTAAATCCAGTTTAAACCGTTTAAATTCATCACCTTGGACTGTCATGGTTAGCCTCTAGAACAGCAGTTCTCAACCTGTGGGTCCTGACCCCTTTTGGGAGTCGAAGGAGCCTTCCACAGGAGTCGACTAATTCGTAACAGTAGCAAAATTACAGTTATAAAATAGCAATGAAAATCATTTTATGGTTGGGGGTTCACCACAACATGAGGAACTGTATTAAAGGGTTGAAGCATTAGGAAGGTTGAGAACCACTGCTCTAGAACATCAAGCTGAGGCTGATATGCTCAGCATGTAGTTAAAACTTACCAATGCAGTCATGTTTATATGCACTAAGGGACTTTTTTCAAAGTGTGGGGAGTCTTTTGCAAGGCAAATAGTCATTTCCAAGTAACCATTATTCTTGATTTTCTTAATTATATATATCTAGATTAAAGCTAGAAACATATCTGGGGATAAAAACAAAACCATTGTTTGTGGATATTGCCCTGTTGCTCAACACATAGGACTTTGTTCACAATGTGGAGTCACATCAGGTTACATTGTTAGGAAGTGATTGTAAACTTTGTTTAATAAAATAATCCAGGTAAGTCCCAGAGGCTGACTTCTGACAAAGAAGGGGTGTGTCTGAGAGGCAGGGCAGAGGGAGTTTCCTGGAACAGAACACTGTCTACCTGAATGATCTGCTTTCGAAGAACCTCTCCATTCAGCCAGTGACCTGCTGGGAGTTAGCAAATGTGTGTGTGTGTGTGTGTGTGTGTGTGTGCATGTTTGTGTATGTGAGCCTATGTGTACATGGATGTTTAAAAGTGCATGTTTGTATTTATGGCCCTGCATGTGTCCATGTATGAGTCAACATATACAAATATGTACGAATGTGTGTGGCATTGTGTGCCTGCCTATGTGCTTGAGTGTAGATGAGCACATGCATGCATGTAGGTGCCTACATGGTTGATGGTGACTGGACAGAGGGCAAATAAGCTCTTTGTATGCTTCCATTTATGTCAGAGTAATCACAACTTTAATGACATCTGGTGGGGTGCTGTTCCTTAAAATTGTGTCAAGCTCATATAAGTCAGTTCCCACATTCTGAGAATTAGAGGGGAGGCAGGGAAGGAAAAAGAAGATTACTAGTTTGGGTTCCAGGTAAGTTACTATTATGATTTTCTTCAAACATCCCATTGCCCCATTTAGTGATTCTGAATTAGTGTGATGCAGTCCCAAAGAAAAATGCTCGTAGGGAAGCTCTTCAAGGGTGAAAACCCCCCAATGAATAGTTAGTGCTAATTGGGACCCTGTGGCCTGGAGAATTGGGGGTTGTTTACACATGGCCTTGGGAATGTGGTTCAAGCTGAGAGATAAGTTATTGAACAGTTTTGTACAAGATGGTAGCAGGTGCTGAGCTTTACAACACAGTGTATGAGAGGTGACAAGGTCCAATTGTTTACACCCGGATTTTATCTCAGCAGTCCAGGATTTTAATCCTAACTCCACCATTTACTGGTGAAAAGGTTTTGGGAAATTTATTAAATGTCCCCGAATCTCTATTTCCCCATCTGTAGAATGGAGATAATTATGCCTTCCTCTCAAGGGTGTAATGAGGAATTAAGTAAGATACACCAGGGCTCATGAATCTCATCTGCTTTCACTTATGGATCTGTTCCTTTATTAAATGGTTTCTTAAGAAATAACTGTCAAGAACTAAGCTTCTTTAAATTATCTACTTAACAATTTACTATAGACAGTCAGAGGATTTAAAAAATTGCTTCTTAAATTATGAAAAATTTTAATATGATCAGCATCAGTTAAAGAGCCACTTGGTCCATGGTCCATTTAGCTTTGACACTGGTTGTGGTGTGCTGAGAGGGGTCTTTTTGCCAGTGAAGGGAAATTCACATCAGTCGGTGATAGGAAAATAAAAGGAAGTAAAAAAGGAAAGGATACTATATTTCCAGGATCATGCGATCCCATTGGCTCTTTCACTTCTGTCATTAATCTACCCAATTCCTTCACCAGACTAGTGTCTTAGATAACACCAGCTTTTATATAGTGCAGAGATTTGGAGCCTTAGATTGTCCTAATTCAAATCCTGGCACTCTGAGTCACCAGGTCACTTTGTCTCTGTGGACCACAGTTTCCTCACCTGTAAAATGACAACAATTATACTGACCTTATAGCTCTATAATGACTGCTGAAAGCAATTATTCAATAGACATTGACTTTGTTTATTAGCTTATAATGGTTATTATAACCATGGTAAATTCCCTGATCTTGGTTTCTGGACATATCTTGGGTCTTCGGAATGTACCTAGGGAGGCATAGGCTCAGATGATAGGGTACTGTGAGACCTGGAAGCCATTTGGCGCTAATGAAGCCCCTAGTTCTATAGTGAAAAGTGCTCACAGCTTCCCAAACCAACAGTCTTAAAAGTACTGCTTCAACCAAAGTGAGCAGGAAGATAATTACAGGAGATTCTGTTTTTTTCTGTGCTTTTGTGTGTGTGGCACTCTGGCAACATTGGTTTATATTCTGCTATGTACTGTGTGTGTGTGGTGGGGGAGGGGGCTTTTCTATTAGTTTTTCCCCTTTAAACCAGTCTTCATCCCCAACTCACAATCAATCAGCACATCAATCAAGAATCTTACTGCCAATGTAATGGAGAACATATTTTCCACTTATAATCAAGCTGTATGGTCTAGTGGTTAAAACGACATGTTCTGGAGTTAACTGCATCTGAGTTTGATTTGAGGCAAATTGCTTGAAGTCTCTTGGAGTCCATTTCCTCATCTTTAAAATGGGGTAATGATGGAGTCTGCCTCCCAATGAGATTGTGAGGATTACATGATAGGATGCATTCACGCTGCTCAGTGGAGGGCCTGGAGTTTACCAATCACTCTGTACATGAGGATTTCTATAATGCTTCAAAGGCACTGCCAAGGGAGGAGTTTGGACTGAAAGATCCCAGTGAACAAAAGGCACCACAACAAGCTTGGCTGGCAGGCTGCGTTGAAAAGCTCACAGCCCTCATTTCAGACAACAAAACCTGCGGGGATATCTCAGCCAATGTTGTCTTTCCCTTGGGTCAAGTCTTCCTTTGGGTCAGGACCTATAATGCGGAGCAGGCCCAGGTATAGAATGTGTGGGGCCCAATGCCAAAAGGGAGAACTGGTGAGGAAAGAGAGGTCAATACAAAAGGGGCTGAGTGCCAAAAAAGGAGCCCTCATGGCAGAGTAGACTATGTTTCCATGTGCTAATCACCAGGTCATCAGTTTGAAACCACCACTGCTCCTGGGAGAAAGCTGAGGCTTTCTATTCCTGTAAATATTTACACTCGCTGAAACCCACCAGGGCAGTTCCAGTCTGTTCCATAGGGTCAGGTTATGAATCAGAGTCAACTCAATGGCAGTGAGTTTGGAGTTGGCATTTTGAGTGCAAACCATATTAAGAATTTCAACATGGCAGCTGCAGTGGGCTATAAAACCAAGAGGAGCACCCTTTTGAACATAGGGCCGGAGGTAGGTAGTTTATCGTGCCAATCTGTCCAATAAACACATGTGGGGTTAATTGAAAGGCGGAGGAATAAATGGCTCAGTGAGCCTCACTTTTCTAGTTCTTGAGTCTTTTGCTTTCTGATGGTCGGACCAGGATGCAGCTGCCTTAGCCAGTTCCCTGCTTCAGCTGGCAGGGCTCACTTCCTGCAAGACATCCCTGAGGAGAAGCCGCATGGACCTACCCTGATGCAGCCCTGGGTGCTGGAGCAGCCATGTGGAGACCCCTGCCAGTGCTGAGATGCTTACACATTCACTGACTCAGCTTTCCTCCTGCAGTTGGCATCGTTGTATCTGTTTTGTGAGATGGAGGAAGACTTTGTGGATTGGTGTTGGACATATGGGTTAATGGATTAATGTTGGACTCGTGGGCTTGGGCAGCACGGGGTTGGGATGTTTTCTTGATGCGCACTTAAGCTTTTTATAAAACTCTTATACATGAGTTTCTGTGGATTTCTTTCTCTAAAACACCCAGACTGACACAGGGCCCTATTGTCTGAATGTTCCTAAAGCTGCTCCTGGCCCCCAAGTGAGGGAAAACCTGAAGGAGGGTGGGAGGGGAACATGGATTCTGCCCTTCACAATGAGTTGTTGTTAGAGCGCACAGGAAATCTACCTTGCCACCCCCCCTCCCTTGTCAGGATATACACTTTACACAGTTGCATCACGAAAAGTGTGCCCTGCTCTGTGTGGAGGGATGACAAGACAAACAAGTGGCTGTGCATGTGTTTCCATTTGCCAAAAGCAGGGCCGGCCTTTTAGGGCTATGGCGCACGATAGAGCTCACAGGTTCTTCCTAGCAGCCTG